AGCGAGGAGGCTAGGCAAAGTGGTGACGCTGATTTACACACACACACACACACACACACACACACACACACACACACACACACACACACAGACGTCCTCACTTTTTGCACAAGCTCATCAAATGCGTGTTTGCTGCAGTGGTGAAGAGAAACCATTTTCTTTCTTCCATCCCAAAGAAGCGGAGCTCCGCCCGCCTTCAACTATTGGACGGGAGATAGCGCCCGCCGGTCCCTCCAAAGAAAGTCAAGCCAGAGCCCAACAAAACCTTGCTGGTTTTTTTCGTCTTTGCCGATTCGTATCTCGCACGTGAGCTTTTGCGTTCCGTCGGAAACGTCGGGAAAGAAGGTCCAGCAGGGATCCAAGAACGTTGAAAGGCGCCAAATCAAATGACAATCGAAGGTCCCGTTCCAAGAAATGTCCTCAGATGAAGAGAAAAGAACAAACGTGTCCACTTGGAATATTTGCGGCCATTCCGCCTCGCTTGGCGGTTTGCGTCGCGACACCGGCAACTTTTGCTTGATTCGGTGCGCGCACAAAAGCGACACAAAAGAAAGTGCGAGGGAGCGAAGTGTGCGCGCGTGTGCACGTGTGCGTCGCGGGCACCGCTCAAGTTTGGCGATGGAAATCTCTTTGTTTGTGCTGTTGTTTCGCTCGTGTCGCGCGTTTGGAGGCAATTGTCTTCTCCTGGCTTCGTCTCCTTTGTTTTGGATCTGCAAACATCTCTCGCGGGCACACGCACACGCGCGCGCGCAGGCGCTCGTACGCACGCGTGTGCGGCGATGAGATTGGAGCCCCTTTTTTTTTGCCCTTATTGGAAGTTGCGGCAATCGCGGTGATGATTTTCTCCCCTCAATTAAATGATAGTCTCCTGCGCCAGCCGGCGTCGAGCTAATCAGCTTGTAATTAATGCGCCCGCCGAGCGCCTCCCGACGGCGGCGCGCACGCAAACGCTTTTGGCGTCCGTTTGAGGCCTTGCGACCGGCATGACTTTTTCTCTGGCCGAGGTTGTTTTCATTTTTTTTGTCTGCTGTCCACAAGCCGCAATTTGGGAGGCCATTTTCCCCCTGCCGTTGAGGCCAAAAGCGCTTGAAAAGGTGCGAGTCCGTTCGGACTGGAGGACAAGTCATTCGCCAGGACGTCGTGTTTGCTCTGCGGCCACGAGAAAACAGAAATCTTCCCTCAGGCTGCGGGCGGGATCCACTCTGCTTTTTTTATTTTTTTTTTTCCTAAGACCCCTGCAGACTTAAAAGCTAACGTTAGCTTATTAAGCTGAGCCCGCCCGCATGCATATGCATGCATGCATGCATGCGGGAATCTGGGCCGCGCTGGGCGAATCCTATTTCCAAATCCACCTGCGCCACCAAAGCCGTCCGCCTTGAGACAAAAGACCGACGCTCGCTCGGTGCTCTTGACGGCCCGACAAAGGTGCGATGATCACAGACCGTCGTCGACTTGGCCAAGTGGTCCACGTGTGTCCGGCCTCCCCTCGAAGGCGGCCGCTTTTGCTTCCGGTTCTCCGCGAAGCCGATTTGCTCTCCATCGGACTTCTTTTCTCTTCGGTCGCGCCGCCAAGCATTTGTGGTGCGCCCGGAATGATAAATGTGGCGACTTGCGCTTTAATTAAAGTTGCCGGCGCGGCCCAAAAGTTAAAAGGGAGGGGGGGGGGGGGGGGGGGGGGGGGGGGGGGAAGGGATATTGCAGCCGTGGCGTGAAAGTGGGCAAATGATCAAATACAAATTAATTAGTGTTAGGAGCAGAATTGCATTCAGGAAATTAAAAGATATCCACGCGCACTCCACACTGCGGGGCCGCCGTGTCATTTAGCTACACACACACACACACACGCACACACACACACACACACACACACACACACACACACACACACACACACACACACACACACACACACGAAGTAAAAGGCCGAGAAAAAACGTTGCGACGGCTCTCATTTGCCACGTGAGAATGTCGGAATGTCCTCTGGGACTCAGCGGAGATTCGTTCTTACGCGGGCCAAACATGCAAATTGGACCAGCGGAAGAAAGCACC